ACACCAAAATGATCCATATATATAACAAGAAAAAAAAAAAAATAGATGCAATGGATGCATACATGAAACTAGGGAGGACAGCTTGAAATGGACCATTACTTGCCCTAAAGAAGATGGAAAATATGTGGGGCTTTCTATTCATTTCCGTTTTATTGCATATATTTATATAATAACAAAATAAATTAAAAATACCTAATTTTGAATAGTTTAATTTGCTTAGTGGTTGATTGTTTCTAGTTCTACTTGTCTATTTGTTATACATTGAAAAATGATCCACATAGAAGAATCCAAACGTTCTAATTATATTGATATAAATAGTAGTATATATCTAGTTTTAGAGGTCTCCTTCGTAATTAAAAAAGTTAAAACAAATGTTTATCACATCAAGCAGATACAAAAATTTATAATTTAAATATAATGTTGTAAGAGGTTAGCTTTGGGGAACAAATAAATATTTGGGACCAAAAAGTATTCTATAAATAGATTTTGGTGATCACATCATTTGGTGGCAGAGAACACAAATGGGCAAGTTCAAGGATCCAAAAACATAGTGGGAACCACCAACCACCAAGATTTTGGAAGTGGCTCAATCTGAATGTGGAGGAGTTGTTAGCACCTCAATTTTTTTGAAGTTTGAAGTCTTAAGTGTTTTTTTTTTTTTTTNAAAAAAATTGAAGTCTTAAGTGTTAAGACTCTTAAGTCTTAACCCATAAAATCTTCAAATTCCCACTTTAAGTAATCTTAATACTTTCCCAATATTTTTAAGTTTTAACATATCAACTAGATAAACAGTACACCACCACCAGAAAACATGCTTGCATAGTACATTTTTTTGGATAAAACAAAAATAATAATACTCTCTCATAGAAAAACATTGGTACATAGTGCCATCAATATTTATCCTATATCCATGTATACAGATTTTGGTGATCACAACATTTGGTGGCAGAGAAAAAAATGGGCAAGTTCAATTTATTAACAAAAAATTGTGTTTACGATCACAACAGATTATCCTAATTTTTTTCTTCATATATACACAGAAAGTGAAACAAGAATTTTAAATTTAAAAGTTTGAAAGACACTGTTAACAAGACTGTAAGAATTTGAAAGTCAGAAGAAAATTGAATCCGAACAATAAATTCAAATAAGAACTCATAAAAAAATTTTCCAGGGGCTATGACCAACGTCCAAGTCATGATACCTTGAAAGTTAAACTTAAAAATCTAATTACTTTTTCAATATTTTTTACAAAAGATCCCAAACTTGACCCCGACCATACATTCAAAATCCAAAATCTCTGATCTAAGTTGTAACATGGAGACCAAGCGATCGTATCAGCATCACTGCCGGAGAATTTGTTGAAGCTGAAAGACTTGATTTCTCTGTTCCGGTGGCAGCAGATTGATCTGTTCTTGGGTCAAGCTCATCACCTGTTGAAGCAATGCCTTCTCCATCTCTGCAGATATCTACATAAACAAGAAACACACAATCAGATTCAACCAAAAGACTCTTTGTTCTGTGACAAGACTGCAGCATCTACGAGATAAGGAATGTTGAAATCGGTTAATTTGTCGGGGTCTAAAATGATAGAACTACACATTCATCGACATGAGTATATATCCTAGAAGCACAAGGGTTCAGTGGCTGTATCTTTCAGTTGAGTGAAATAAGGGATTACCGGTGCAGGGCGAGCTGGTGGGCCACCTCCAGGGCCAACTTGGCTTGGTGGAGGAACCGGTCCTAACCCTGGGAGATGAGTAATATTTGAGCTCTCTGATTGGCCAGCCATCCAAGAAGGACCTCCTCTGTCTGCAGCCATCGGGCCTCCTAATTGATTATTGGTGTAGTCTCCACGAAATTGACCTCCTCCCTGAAACAATGCACAATTTCCATTTAGATTATTTATTATCTGAAGCAGAAACAAAATTTAATCGCAATCAGAACTCATATCAGAATGACAATAAACAAAGAAGAGAAGAACTATTGATGGAAGATAAAACTTCCCATATTGGATTAAGAATAACAATGAAAAATGTTGGAAAGAATTCTCATTAAAGGGTGAATCTACTAATTGAAGGTGGTGTAGCGCTCAGAAGAAAGAACATAGATAAAGCAACATAATTGCATAGTCAATCTGCAAAACCATCGAACATATCGTCTAAAGGTATAAGACAGTAAGAGTATAAATACCTGGTAAGGTGGCTGACCCTGCGTGAACTGAGGTCCACCAGAAGCAGGGGGTCTGTTGCTTGGCTGTAAATTGGCTCAAATAACGAGCTATAGTCAGTCAAAAACATATACCACGACGAAGGAAACACAAGAAAAGCGATAATAGTTACTCATAACTCTGACTCACATGAAACATGGGTTGAGAAAGATGCTGAGGAGGTGCACTATGGTGCTGAAACCCAGGGCTTGGACCAGTCTGGGATGGTCCATATTGATGATGATATGGTCTAGGCTGTTGTTGAGCCATATGAGGACCTCCACCCGAGTGCATTGGTTGTTGTTGCACCTGAGTCGAGGAAGCTGGTATATCAAGATGATGAAAAGGAGGTTGTTGGGATGTCTGATGAAGGGAAACCGGAGGAGGCGCGGTTTGAACTTGAGAAGACTGTGGATGAGACAAAGAAGTGACAGCAGGATTCAAATGTCCTTGACGCTGGGGATGTGAAAAACGAGGCTTCGATGGAGCATTATTGATTGCAGAAACAGGAGGCGGAGGTGGAAGGATAGGCATTGGTTGTGGCGTTGGGTGTTTTCTAATCGGGGCTTGTGGCTGCATTGTAGCTGCTGGCTCTTGTAAGCCACCTCCGCCTTGAACAGAAGACATATAAGCTTGAACGTTTGGCTTCGGCGGGATGGATTGTTGAGGTTGTTGCACGACTTGTGGCTCAACTTTCGGAATCTAGATATTCAGAGTTGTAAATGTAAGATGACTAAAACGAGAGAAACTACAAACAAAATTGTTTTTTCAAAGATCAAAGCAAATACCACTTGTGGAGGCTGAACCATTCCGAGCATGATTTGTGCCTGACATTCAACAAATATAGCATCAACATCATCATATACAGGTCTAGAATCTATCCATAAACCTAAACATTGTTCATGTCTGGAAACGACACAAAACCCTAATTTAGAACCAACAATGCGAAACCTAATCAAAATACTTAGTAAGAAGCTCAAAACCAGAATCTCCTTTGCTTATTAGACCGCACGAAATGCCAATATGAGGAAAGGATTGGGGAAGATTAAGAAAAACCTGGAAAAGAGCCTTCGTCAAAAGAGGGTTACGAATCAGAATCTCTCTCGCTTGTTGGTGGTTTTGATCAATCAGCGCCTGAACAATCAGATTTCAATCGATCAATTCAAGGAACCAAAATCGAAAACAAAATTGTTCTCGTTTCAAATCCGTAAAGGATCAAAACTCTCGAGAAATATTTGTAGCTGATAATCGGGGGAATAGAGAGAGAGAAAGAGAACCTTCATTTGAGACATAATATCGTAGAGCTGACTCTTAGTCATTCCGGCGAGATTTGCCGGTAAACATCCGTCTCCGCCGATCTGCTTACCCGACATTGTCGTCGTCCTCGTCGGTAGTCGCTACCGTGATAATTATTGCGATTTAAGACGCGACACAACAGAACGTGAAAATAGACCTCGAACGCACACAGTTTGGGCTCAAATGGTTTCAACCCGACCCGGTTTGATTTACTCGACTATATTTGGCCCATGTATCGTTCCTGGCCCAGTAAGGAAAATCGACCAAACAATGTAACCTTTGATATTAAAATATTTTTTCTTTTATTTCATAAAATAAAATTATATGATTTCTTACACACAAGAAGGCAAAGTATTGTTTAAATTTATCATTCCTTGTGTGGGAGAATTCACACATATATAAAAAGAATGTAGAAAATAATTTACAACACTAGATCATCTCTCTCCTCATTTTCTATTTTATTAAATTCCTAACATTTTTGTAGGTTATTTTTGAAGGTTCTCCTTAATTATTTGTAGCATAAATATAAAATATAGACATGCATTTAGATACATACATTAAATATATGAAACTTATTCAAGTGATCTTTATATGTACCATGTTAATTGTACACGTAACATGCATTTATATAAATATATAATAAAAACATGTCTTTTGGAAAAGCAAAAGCTTGAACACAAGTTAACATTACAGAAGCGTGTGAGACGGTTTTGGCCTCTTCACTTTCATGTTGCTGCAAGATCTTCTTTTTATTTTTGTTTCCATCCACAGTTTTCTTATGCGATAATTTATTTATTTCACCATAACAATATAACAATATTAATTGGATTCTTGCCTTTAGTAAGTCGGTAAACGTCGTCGGCTTTATTTTTATTCTTTCAGGTAAAAATAGTCTTCCACTACATTCATCTCTCACCATGTTCTGCCAATTTCAAGTTTCGTATATAAAAAAATTATCACAAACTTCAAAGACTGGCATAATCGTTGAATAAAAATCACGATCCTTCATAAAATATGTGATTGGTAAAGAAACTCATATATCGCACAATCTTTTCATTTTCCAGCGATAGATAGATTTACAATCAAAGCTATAATTGTAAACTTTTTTTTATCTAGTAATGAAGTGAAGGAGTCAATCATCTTGAAACTTTCTTTTGCTCCCTGTAATAATCTCTAATTTGGGCACTTGGTATTAGTCTTTTTTATCGAGTAGTTTTTTTTTTTGTTTATTATAATCTTTAGTTTTTGGCACTTGGTATTATTTCAGCATGCAGTTTAAGGAATGAGTAGGCGTATAATCTTGTCTTAAGGAAATTATAAGATGTCCAATTTCATAAACATATATTTAAAAACCAGAAAAAGGTAGAGAGAAAAAAAGAGAGAGAAGCACTCAACTCAACCACTTTATAGTTTTTTTTGGTAAATTAAACCACAAACTTTGCTTTTGATTTTGTAGCCTAGGAACCCTCTCTCTCTCTCCATTTGATAGGAAGAAGAAGGAGAAAGATAAAAAAGATAAAAGAAAGAGAGAAAAGAGGTTTTAATTAAAATGCAATGTTATACAAATGAAGAAGCATTAGCAAGTCTCTTCATCAATGTCTCAA